TTTCATGCCCATTGCTGGTTGGCTAACTAGCAACGGGGTCTTACCAGCCAATGGAATTGTGTGATTACAAGCCAGGGGAATCCCATAAAAGAGGGCTCCCCTGGCCCAGATGCCAGTCCGGATTTACTTTATGCCTTGCCAATAAACCGAGAGCTGACTGTCACTCGACTCGTGTCTTACTGCCTGCGCGATCTAACAACATGTGTCAAAAGCGGCACGCGGAGCCCTCTCTGTGGGCAGGCACCATCGCCCCAGCACACGTGGTCTCTAAAAGTTCACCAACACTGGCCTAAGGCCAGCCAGCCTGGAGCCACCGTTGGAGAGGTGCCCCTTCCCTCTGCGCAGCAGTGGAGACGTGCCTCGCTTACGAGTGGGCAGGGCGGGGCCTCGCGGCGGAGGAGGAGCTCGTCCTTCCGTGATAAGCTGCAGCTGCATTTGGTGGTCAACCTGTAGTAGCCCGACCCCGTTGCACTGGTCATGTAGTTGCGGTTTGCCCCACTGTGCCTGCTGCTCCAGCAGTGCCTCCAAATGGCCACTGTCCTCCAGTGAGTCTTCTCCTTCCTGGCGCTGGGTGAGGACAGGATGGTGCTGGCGGCGGCAAACTTGGCTGTGTCCCAGCCACAGGGGAGATCGCAGGAGAGGCAGCGCTGGCTGGCGGTCATGGTCAGTGTGGGGCGGCGGGCCCAGTGGGCGGGCCTGGTGGGTTCAGGTGTCTGATCTCCACCCAAAGCCCTGACTCATAGGAATGGATGGAAAATATCCGGTAGCAAGAAGGGAAATCAAAAGAAACGGTGGACAGCACCCTGCAAGCAGAGTGTGAAAGGGCGCTCTGCGAGGGGTGGGTCGGGCCGGTGGGAGCAGGATGTGAGGGGTGGGTCGGAGCAGTGGCGGCGATGGAGTGCTCCATTGGGGTGCGGGCGGGGAAAGTAGTGGCTGGCGGTGGGGCACTTCTCATTCTCACTGCATTTTTTCCCCTGACCTTTAAACCATTTTTTAAAACACAAGAGTTGTATCACAGAAAAGCCAACCCATGGCTGAATGGAATATGATGGCCTCCTTGAACTTACCATCTTACCGCCCGTCAGTAACAACCCCACACAACCCCCACCCCAGTGGTGGGATTCATTCCATAGAACTGGTACCTAATTTAGAGTTCGGAGAACCGGCTCAAAAACGGCCAGACTAGCGTGCATTCACGTGCCTCCAATCCCTTCCTTCCTTGCTGCACTCTGGCTTTGCAGCAAGCAAGGCGGTTGGATGCACGTAAATGCATGCTAGTCTGGCATCTAAAAAAAAACGTTTTTTTCCCCTGCTCCTGATAAGTGAAAATACTCCACCTTACCTGAGATTGGATTTTTTTTTCTCCACTCGATGTTCGCTGCAAGACTGTTTTACTTGATGCAGTAGAATGGGAAGGATCCACATTCTGTAGCAAGTAAACTTTAAAGAAAGTTTTAAAAGTATGGCAGAGAAAATCCTGCCCCTTACATGGGATCAGTGTTTTTTTCTCCACTCCCTTTGGCTGTCTGCTACCAGACTGTCTGGGAGCAAAAAGCCAAGGAGAGAGGAGAAAAGCCTCCTTACGTGGGATATTGGGGCGGGGCTCTCTGCTCTCCGAGGCTTTTTGCTGCCAGCAAGTAAACGTTAAAGAAAGTTTTAAAAGTATGGCAGAGAAAATAATCCACCTTACGTGGGATCAGGGTTTTTTTCTCCGCTCCCCTCGCACACCTCCTCAATACCTACCACGACCACCAGCCACTCACGTAGGTCCATTAGGCCACTGCCCAGAGCTGCACGCCTGCCCAGAACGAAGGAGGTGAAGCAGTCAGCTAGGAAGCCCTGCTTAAGAGGTGGTAGAGCACGCCCAGGGCCAGCAGGCAAAAGGCCACTCCGAGCAGGGAAAGCCGGATCCCCATCGGCATCATGGCCACCCAGGCCCAGCAGAGATGGAGGGAGGCACACAAGCCTAGCTGGGACTGGGGGCCATGGCACCGATGGAGATCTGGCTTTCCCCGCTCGGGGTGGTCTTTGGCTTGCTGGGCATGGGCGTGCTCTACCTCTACTCGAGCTTGCTAGCCAGCCATTTCACCTTCTTTGTGCTGGGCGGGCCAGGTGCTCCAGGCAGCGGTGGTAGCCTAATGGACCTGCACGAGCTGCTGGTGCCGGCAGCCCGAGACGGAGCTAAGGTGCATCGGGTGTGCGAGGGGAACAGGGGCGGACCAGGCTAGAATAACTGCTTGTTTCTATTCTTTGGTTTGATAGCATTTGGGAACAATTTGACCTGCTTTGTTCCTTTTGTCTTATTATGTCATTTAGTGCAATATATTTAGAGAGAAGGTTCCTTAGCAACAAGGTTTTTTTTCCATTTTAAATGCTATATATAAGATAAAGGTTTCCCTGTCAGTCGTCTCCAACTCTAGGGCACAATGCTCATCAATGTTTCTTGGATGAGCGAGCCAGCATTGTCCAAAGACAATTTCTGTCATCATGTGGCCAACATGCTCATCCTGTTGTGCGGAGCTCAGGTCTCAAACCTGGGCTGTCAGTTCTCCATCTGACAAGCTCAGCGTCTTTAACCAGGAATATCAGTTATTTTAGTTCCTAAATAAAGATTAAGCACCAGTCTAAAATATAGTACAATTGATCATATTTATGAAATGAATAGGGGAAGTGTTTCTGAATTTGCAGAAGTAGAAGCACAGAATTTATCTGTAGTTCACAGGGAAGCAGACTTAGCAAGAGCATTTAGACTTACCTTTTCAGGATTCTGCAGAAAGCTGAACAAATGCTGCTGCTTTTTTAAGGTGTCTGTTTCTTAAAATTAAGATGATTTTAAATTTAAAATCTGCCTCTTTTCCCACCATATTCATGGCTGGTGCTTTATGGCATTAGAAAAACACTAAATGGGATGCAGTGTTGCTAGAATGGAAGAATGAAAGGTTCCTAAAGCATCCCAAAATTCCACCTTGATCCATTTTGTAGCTTTATATCTTTTTGTTTTTACCTCTTTTACTTCTTTCTCACCACTGACTTTATTCAGTTTCATTTGATTCTGAACTGGAGAAATGTTCATCTGACCTAAAATTCATTTCCTTATTGTCTTTAACAAAAAAAGTAGAGTTTCCACCCTCTTCCACACACAAATACACACAATGGTAGGTTGCCAGCAACTTTTGGGATATATTAGAACTTTATGATGCAATCACCTAGGCTGTGAAATTATTTTCTAAACACTTCAGCTGGGAACAAATCTAATTGAATACAGTGATTTCATTTTTGGGTAAAGATCTATAGAATTAGGACAGTGCGCAGCTAATTATAATTTTAAGTCCATTAAAACAGTAGTTTGACTGCTGCATACATTTTGTATTATAAATTAAATCTCCTTCCAATTATTGTTTTTGTTACCTTGTGAAAATTGATTTGCCCGGTCCAGCTAATGGACCAGACAATGCAACTTTTCCAAACTTATTTAGGAATATTTAGGATCGCATTGCAAGTGCATAATCTAAAACAAGCTTTCAAAAACAACATGTGCATTTCTTCAGAAACATATCTCTATTAGGAATTAAATTATGTATTGGAAAATATATTCCAGAATAATGTCTTTAGAAAGAAAAATATTGAAACTGTTTTGATTGTAATTAAAAGTTGTATTTTTTATCATAAAAAAGTTTCACATATTCACTGTGGCTACTCTACAGAATTTGTTCATTTTATTACACCACAGGTCAATTCTAGTTTTATTTGTTTATGCAAAACCCGTGGCTAAGTGTATCATACAACACAGGAGGAGGGCCTTATTCAGTCCCACTATTCTACATGTAATTAAAAAACAACAAATACAGAAAAAATCTTATCTACTTGTTTAGACAGCATTAAGTACCTCTTAGAAGTACTTAATAAGTCACATATAAAGTCTTAGAAAACAGTTTGGTTGGTATAGAACTTCCAAAGACAGGTGTTTCCTTTGTAAAAAAAAATGACTACAACAGTAAATATTTGTATTTGTAATTACCATTTGTAATCACTGTTTCCATAAAGGAATCATTTTTCACCTTTTAACTGAGCACAATAGAAGAGAGTATTGATGCTGCCACCTTAAAGCATAAAGTCCAATAACCTTAACTTTCATGACATGTTTGTTGGAACCTCTATAACTGTAGCCTGAACTCCAAGGGCTGTGCTTTTCTCTTTATCAGCATCCCAAGAGCTGATTAAAGGAGGATAAAGCTCACTGAAAGAAAAGGATTGTTTCTTCAGATCATTCCTGAAAAATCTGTGTCCTATATCACAGTTGATTTCATGACAGATGCAACTGAGGAGAGTGGCAACCCAAAAGAATCCTAAAAGAAAACCAAGGCAGAAAAGAACTGTAGTACTGCTGCTGCTGCTCTTCTCACAATTTCTCATTGCCGGATCTAATTCTTTTGTTGTAACATTGATGCACTGTCTTGCATTCTGAAGCCGGATAGTGGGGATGTTTATACAAATTTTATATTCCATTGATGGTATGAGATGCGTAAAATTATAGACCTTTTGATGTGACGGAATTCGAACACTCTGAGAGGTTAGGGAGTTTCCATCTTTTGGAAAGACAGTCCACCTAATGTTAAATTTCACAATTTTAGAATTTGCTTTCCAGGATACTAATATGGAATCGTAGCGTATATCTTCTACTGTTATAGAGAAAGGCTTGTAATTCTCCTGGGGAAAAGAACTATCCACATTAATCATAATGGATTTTAAATCTGCACCAACTAAATTACTTGCTATGCACGTGTATAAGCCACTTTCTTTTTGTGTTATATCACTGATCTCTAATGTTCCTTCTGAATGTACATAATACTTAAGAGAAACAGTATTGGGTAAAAGCTTATGTCCTGATGGAGTAATCCAGTATACTTCAGGTTCTGGAACTGCAGTAGCTCGGCAATGTAAGGAAACATAACTACCTGTTTCTAAATTTAAGTTTGCAGGAAAACTTTCTGGGGCTATAAGTGGAAGACAAATTTCCATCATCTCCCTGAAATGAACCATCCTGACATTCTGGCCTTGGAATTCAGGAGGATCTACACAAAATAGTGACTCTGGCTCCATGAATCTGATGCTCGTTTTATTCATATTAATCCATCGAATGACACAATCACAACGCATTGGGTTGCTATGTATGCTGATTTCCTTGAGATTGGGTAAAGATTCAATTGTACTGTGATACAGCGCACTCAGTGCATTGCTATTGAGCATGAGTGATTCCAGCCGCGGAAGGCGATAGAATGCATTAGGGTGTATATATGATAACCTTGGATTATTGGTTGCTTCTATTTTTCTCAAATCTGGCAAATTTTCAACAGCGAGGTTATCTATAGATATCAGTTCAGGCATGTTATTAATTCCCAATTCTTTCAGGTGTATCATGTTGCAAAAATCCCCTCTTTGTATTCTGTTAATGGGATTTTTGTTTAGATCCAAAAATTTAAGATTTGTAGCCTTTTGAAGAGCTCTGTGGGGCACTTTAATTAATCTGTTTTCATAAAAAGAGATGCTTTCTAAATTGTCAAGACCAGCCAAGGCATTATCTGGTATTTCTGTGAGATTTATACCTGCTAAAACCAGGCTCCTCAGATTTATAAGGGGTTTAAAGTTCATATCTTCAATTCTGCTTATTGGATTTTCTCCAATCATAAGAATCTCCAGATTTGAAATAGCTTCAAACCATTTGCTGCTAATTATTTGCAGATTGTTTGAATTGAGATGAAGCCTAAGAAGGCTATCAAGGCCTGTGAAAGCCCCTGATGCAATTGTAGAAAGTAGATTGTGATTAATGTAAAGCTCTTGGAGATTACTAAGTCCAAAGAAACATCTGTCAGGCAATTCTGTAAGTTTATTTTCCTCCAGATATACTGAAAGAAGTTGAGTTATCTTCTGAAGTTCGATAGTAGCCACTGTAGATAAACCGTTCTGGGACAAATCCAAACCAGTAAGATTTACAGGAAATTCCCGAGGATATTCAATTTTTTTAATATGGTTTGCTTGTAGAAGTAGTACCTGTGTATTAGCAGGCAGTTGAGATGGAAAAGTAGAAAGGCCTACATTATTGCAGTCTATTGTTGATGCCTCCATATATATTGACCTAGGAGTAAACCACGGCCGAATCTCGCAGGAACATGACTGTGGGCAATCTGTTTTCTTATTCAGAGCTTGTACTGGCGCAGTGATAGTTAGGCCAAGTAAAAAGTAAATTTTGACTGACACGTCCTTCATCTTAGCTCCGGATTTCAGAAAAGCAATTGTACAGTTTTTATGTACAGTAAGGGTTGGTCATTTGATAAGACAATCACTTGAATTTGTCAAATGGTGCATGTTGCAGAAATGCAATGTTCCTTTGCTTCTTGGAAATGCACTGCATCCTTACAATCACTTTGTCTCAATTTAAAAGGCATTTTTGGAAAATGATATTACATCACATGGATAGATTCTTCAAAATCAAATATATCCAGAAGGAGATATCAAAAAAAGTAGCTTATTTATATAACTGGAGTCATTTTCAATTCCATTATGTCTTTTTTCATTTTTCTTTAGGGAAAAATGACCTACAATATAAAAGAGAAAATAATTAATATTATCAATGAATATAGCAATGAAGGTTTATATATTATTATTATTGATTTAAAATTATAGCCTGTAGTATTTTCTTTATAATGTTAAAAGGTTTTTAGACTAATAATAATTTATATTCTCACAACTCTCTAAACTTAAAACAACTGGACACACATTGTCAATGAAGTAATTGTGTGGTAACTGGGATAGGGTAATTAGGAACATTGAGAGGAATTCCAAATGTAGAAACATAAGCATTTACATCAAATTCACATTAAATTTTGGCTTGAATTTTAAAGAATGTTCTCCAGTGATACAACAGTGCAATTTATAATCCAGATGAAAATCACAATTGGGCCTTGTTTTCAGTTAGAGAGATATAAGTTCACAATTTTAGAGCTAGGAGAATTATGCAAATCCATCCTGACTAGTCTTTTGGCACACATGAGAATGCTAAAATTGTTAAATCATTTGCCTTTTCCCCAGACATTCGTGACTGCGCTAGATATTCTTCCTGTAAATGTGTATGCATACAGAGCAACAGTTTTTTGGAGGGGAGGGCATGTTCATGTTTAGAAAGTTTCACATTAGGTAAGTAAAAGCTTAATATGTTCTGTGCATCCTGATAATACCATCGTGATAAGAAGTGCTGCATAGGTGATTTAAAAAAATATGTTTTATTGTTGTAAATTGCCCATAGTGGTGAGGTGGGTGGCAATGATGTATATATTGGGCAGATGAGATTTGGATCACATATTTGATCAAAACTGAGTAAGTACACCTAATATTAATATCAAGCTATATTATTCCAAATTTTTGAGAGAGTTTGAAATGGAAGTATAGAGGTTTCAATCCTATGATTTGGAGTATTGTACAGGAATAACGATTTAGATAGGATGTTGATGAGTATATAATATTCTGTATTGATAAAGTTTTAAAATTGGTCCTTTATTTTGTGCAAGGTAGTTTGAAGAGGATGTACTTTATTAGTTCAATTTAGTATAATAATTTCAAATGCAAATCTAAAAAAATAATAAATGTTTTGCCTGGAGTATAATATTTAGGGCCAGGATGGCCTTGGATGGTCACCCTTGCTAATGCCAGAAGGTTAATCTCATTATTTACTATTAAAATGTGCTAAGGAAAATAAAGTTATTCAGGACTTCTAGTTTGGCGTTTGATGAGACAGGTGGAAGAAGCCGGAGCTCTGGCTTCTCAGCCCAATTTCGTTCTGCCTGGTGACCCTAAAGAGTCGGAAAGTTGCCCTGGAGGGGCAACGAAGAAGGAGGGATGCCTCAGGAGCCTGGACCAGACAGACTGAAGAAACCCTCTGAAAGGACGGAGGAAAGGCTGCCGGGTGAGCTCAGGCAGTGCAAGCCGTCGCCAGCCGGAAGGAAAGCAAGGAGCCGCGGTGCTCCGCCAAACAGCTGATTGTCAACAGCGTGCTGAAACTGGGTGAGCCAGTGCTTTTTCCTTTTCCTTTTGGACTTAAAATGTTGATCCCCTGACTGGGAAGAGCTAAAAAGTAAAGACTCCAGAAGGATTAAGATCTAAAGGTGGCGAGCAATTACAAAGGGGGAAGATTTTTAAGGAATACAAAAGAACTTTCAAAAATTGAACTCAGATTGATTTAAAGAAAGACTACTTAATATACAAGAGGTGGAAATTTTTTTTAGATATAATCTCAAGGGTAAATAACGTATAAAGAACCTTAAAAGAAAAACTTTGTAATAATCTTTTAAAACCAGATATTGATAAAATAGTGCACGAGGACATCTAGTGGTGAAAGAAGAAATTACAGTACTATTAAACAATAAAAGACTCTGAAAGTATTTGACCTTGAGACAACACCTGCCTTTGTGTGAGTCTACAATTGAAAAGACTTCTCATAGCTATATTTGTTGACTATGGATATAACTAAAACAGAAATTATTTGGAGACAGTGAATGCTTTACATCTGAGACCCGACTGGAGGAGTTGGATTTGGCCTAAACTAGTTGGCTCATTCTTCTTGGTTGGATTTTAGCCTAAGATAGTTGGCTTTCCCCCCCTTTTTTTCTTTGCCTGCTGCATTTTGTTTTTTCTCCTTGAGATATTGGATTTAGCCTAAGGTAGTTGGCTCCTTTTACAGTTTGGATTTTACCCTAAGATAGCTGGCTGGAAAAATGAGTGCATCAAATATCACCAGACTTATGAAGAAGACTTCCTCTGCACCCTCTGTTGGAACACCTAGCCCAACAACCCAGGGATTCATTGAAACAATGTTGCAGCGTGAGAAAATAAGCACTGCCCAAAATGAGATGCAAACCACATTAAAATTGATTCAAGAATCAATGCCAAAAAAATCATGAAGAGACAAAAAATAATTTTGATAAATTAAGCGAAGAAATTTCGAATATAAAGACACAATTTGAAGTTCACCATCAAATGATTGTTAAAAATGAACAAAGAATTAAGAAAATAGAAAATAAATCAGATGATATTGATAAAAAAATAGAAATACTATTGCAAGAAAATGAAAAATTAGAACAAGTAAAGCAAAATCTAGAAGGAGTGGTGGCGATCTTAGAAATGGAGAAGGCAGAACACTACTTAAGATTTCAAAATATCCCTGAAGATAGAGAAGAAAATACAGCAGTTGTGATCATTGAGCTTCTGGCAGAGGCTTTGAAAGCAGACAGAGCAGAGATGCAAATGGAGATAGATGAAATATTTCAAATGAACTCAAGCTACACAAGGAAATATAAACTACCCAGAGAAGTGCATGTGAGATTCATAAAGAAAACAACAAGAGATGAAATACTGAGAAAAGTTAGAGATGAGCCATTACAATACAAAAATAAAGAAATCATGGTCTTAAAGCAGATACCTAAGAGAGTAAGAGATGCCCAAAGACATTATCATTTTTTAACTACAAAGCTGATTGCAAAAGGCATACATTTTAGATGGTTAATGCCAGAAGGGATTTTAATTAACTGGAATAATACAAGATACCAATTGGATTCAATCTGGAAAGCAGAAGACTTTGATGAAAGAAACCGAGCATTTTTAGATGAAGGGGTCCAACATCGGCAAGAGGAGAGAAACAAAGAGAAGAAACAACTGAAGAAGCAACTATACAAACAGGAGAACAGAAAGAGAAATCTGAGCAAGAGAGTGAAGGAACTGCCAGAGAACAGAGGATCACGAGATCGACTAGACCAGTGGTTCTCAACCTATGGGTTGCGACCCCATTTGGGGTCGATCGACCATTTCACGGGGGTCGCCAAGCAAGGCTGTCCGCCATTTTTTCCCCTTTTCCGGCGTGTGCCTTACCTCCCTTGAGCTGGGCCAGCTGGTGGTCGGCCTGCTCCGTCTCTGCCGCTTGCCAGCTACGCCTCGGCCGGCGCAGGGGGCGGAACCACGCATGCGCAGCGCTCCCGGGCAGGGAAAGTCCTCGACTTAAGAACGGTTGGGTAGTCCTCGACTTACGACCGGTTTAGTCCTCAACTTATGACCGGTTTAGTCCTCGACTTACGACCGGTTTAGTCCTCGACTTACGACCGGTTGGGGTCGTGGCATTAAAAAGGTTGAGAACCACTGGTATAGGGGGTACCTTTCTCAATAGTAGTAACTGTGAGAGGGACCTCGGAGTCCTAGTGGACAGTCACTTAAATATGAGCCAGCAGTGTGCTGCAGCTGCCAAAAAGGCCAACACAGTGCTGGGCTGCATTAACAGAGGGATAGAATCAAGATCACGTGAAGTATTAATACCACTTTACAATGCCTTGGTAAGGCCACACTTGGAATACTGCATCCAGTTTTGGTCACCGCGATGTAAAAAAGATGTTGAGACTCTAGAAAGAGTACAGAGAAGAGCA